CTTGCACCTTTCTAACAATCCTTTTACTGGTTCCTTAGAGCCTTTAAAAAATTTGAATAAATTGATATTATTAGAAATTAGTAATACTGATATAACTAGTGGTTTAGAATACTTAGCAGAAAGTTTGCACGTAGTAGGATGTTATACTGATCAAAGGCCAACTAGCCAAGTAAAAAAAATAAAAGAACAGTTGACCCCTTGTGGATTTAGTATGAAACAATGAAGAAAGTTTAATCGAGAATTAGTTTGAAAGGTAAGAGGCTTTAGTGCTGAAGAAACTAGCCAATGAAAAGAATTAGGAGCAGAAGTAGACGACTATATTTTTATTAGTTGGTTAAGAGATAATAAAAAAATTACTGTTGAATGAGCATTGAATAACCAACCAGAATGGAAAAATCTCCAAAAGACGTGCAAATATGGACTATGTGAGAAATGTCAGAAACCTAACACTAATGAAGATTGGTGTGGAACTTGCAACATTCAAGATTTTTCACGAATAACTAGTGGTAACAAAGAGATAGATACTTTTATTCAACAATACCAACTAGCAGCCACTGAAAAGGAAAAAGCTTTTTATTGAGTTCCTTATGAACAGTTCACCAATATTGAATATCTAGCCGAAGGTGGTTTTGGTAAGGTTTATAAAGCAAAATGAGGAGAAGATAAGTACGGTGAAGATAGAATAGTAGCCTTAAAAACTCTAAATGGTTGTCAGAATATGATCACCGATCTTTTACAAGAGATTACTAATCATAAACTATTTGACTACAGTAATATTGTCAATTGTTACGGCATTTCTCAAGACCCCAAAACTAAAGATTATATTGCAGTTATGAAATATATAAAAGACGGTAGTCTCAGACAATACTTGCAAAATAATTTTAACAAGTTAAACTTTAGAGATAAACTGCATAGGTTGTTTGATATCGCCATGGGGTTGAGAAATATTCATACACAAGGATTAATTCACCGAGACTTTCATCCTAGTAATCTTTTGAATAACGATAATACTTATAATTATAATAGCGTTTATGTTATTGATTTAGGACTAAGTCGGCAAGTTAGTGAAGCCAATGATGGAAAAATTTATGGTGTTTTACCTTATATTGCTCCAGAGGTTTTACAAGGCCAGTCCTACAGCCAAGCTTCTGATATCTATTCCTTTGGTATGGTTGCTTATGAAGTGCTAACTTACTATCCTCCTTATTACAATGTAGAACATGACTGAGTTCTACAAGCAAAAATATGCAAAGGACTACGACCAGAATTTAATATTAAAGTGCCACAATTATTAAAAGATTTAATTAGTAGATGCTGAGATGCTGACCCCATGAACCGTCCTACTGCCAGTGAACTGAGCAATGTTCTGCATAACTGGAATGAGGAAATTAGTGATAGAAAAAACACTGAATTTTATCAGCAGTACCTGGCATCAGAGTCATTTAACAGGTCCCTGCCTACCGAAGCAATATTTCCTACTCACAAATTACATTCAGGATCAATTATGCATAGTCGACTGATAGATACGGAAGAGGTTATTAAATTATTACAAAATTCTGATAAAGAGTTTGAAATTGAGACAGACAATCTTTATCAAGTTGATAAAAACACATTAACCCAACAATCACAACTAGAATTAGAAAATTTACAGGAACAACAGGCTCAAATAGAAATACCCCCTAAATAAAAAACCATGCCCTACGCAATATTTTACTGCCCATACTGTGGCAAATCTGAAAAAAAATCCTCCGACCTAGTCCAATATGATGGCGACACCATTAAAATGTGCTGTGGCAGCCCATCTTGTCGCCAAAAACAACGTGAAGAACAAGAAAAAAATGATAAAGAACGCAAAAAAAGGGAAATAGATGAAGAATTAGAAAATTTAAGAAGACAAAAACAACAAGCGGAAGAAGAAGGAAAAAAAAGGTTAAGAGAAGCCGAATTAGAACATAATCCGGAAGTTCACGAAGCTGAAGCCAAAACTGGTAAAAATTGCTGAGCTCGTTCGGATTCTAAGGTTCCCATCAAAGGAACTTGTGAAAAGTGTAAAAGTAGTAATCAAGTAATTTTTGAACCAAGATTAAAGAAGGTTAACCCTATTGATCGAGAGGTGTTTACTAATTATTTATGTGCTGATTGCTATTGTCAGGAGGAGGGGATTTCTAATCCCTCACCTACTAATAACAAAAAGCCAACTAGTCCTCCACCATCCGACAATCGTCCCAATTCTCCCCTTACCGAATGATTTTAAACTTTCATTTACTAATATTCCTATTCATGGAATTGATGATAATAATTCCGGAGAAACTTGTTCAGTTTGTCGCAAAACTTTAACGGAGGTGGAGAAATCCCACTGTTACTTCCCTGAACAACCCCAACATAAATTTTGTAATCGTCCGTGCTGAGAGCAAGCCTATTGCCATAGTCTAGTCTTAGAAGCAATAGAAAAAGGAGAAAATATAAATGTAGACTTTTTTTCTGACCTTACTCCTCATAGTAAAGCTTTTTTAAAGGCTTTACAGCAAGTTAAGAGAGGTGAGGATATTAATGTTAGTGATGCCGTGTTATCTTGGGAAGAAAAGGAACAATTAAATAAAATTAAGGATGAGGTTCGAGCCAAGCAAAGGAAAAATTCTTCTTCTGAAGGTAAAGATAAGGGTTTACCTGGTCCAGTAATAGGAATAATAGTAATTGGAGTAGTAGGAATGGTGTTTTTTTTAATTGTTAAGTTGAGGAGGAGGAGAAGGAAAAAATAAATAATATCATGAAACCCTGAATAATCAACCTAATAAATGACTCCGGTTTTACCGAACTAAAAGAGTGGTTTAATGAGCAAGATGATACTTTTAAGAAAAATTTAGAAACAAGTATCGCTAAAAACCTTAATCCGCTAACACTAACCATTGCCAAGAAGTTATGAAAAAAACTATTAACCGAAGTAACTAAAGAACTAAATAACTTGGCAACTAAAGATTGGAGCCGAAGTGATTGCTATATATTGGCTCAATTAATAGAATCACTTTCGCAAAATGAAAAATTGATAAGTTTTTTTGTCGAACAAGCCAAAAAAATGTCGACTGATGATAATTTATATCTTGGACCAATAAAAGCTGAAAATTTTTGTTGAACTAAAGGTCGTAATTTTCACCACGGTTGCTTGCCTTTAAACCAAGAACTGTTTTCTCAACTTTGCCAACTCCACGGCTGACCTGCGGAGGAAGTTGAGTCAGTAGGACATCATTTTTTATCTTCACTACCAGTAATACTTAACAAAGCTATAACCAATAGAAGAATAGAATACATAAAGGCAAAACTGGAAAAGAGCAATATTCAAGTTAAAGAATTAGAAGACTATCTTAATCAAAAACTTTTGGACAATAATTATAGTGATTGGGAAAATCAGATGAAATCAGGTAGTATTACTGCGTGCGAAATTATTTTCCGCTTTTTGTTTTTAACTGAATTACGCAGTAATTTAACTTTACTAGAAAAGC